TACTCCCGAGTTGCCCCTTTTGTCTTAACTGTTCTTGCCTTCTGGCAACTCTGTGCATGCGCACACTGGGAACAGGCTCCCCTTGTTCCTCTACCTCGCCGATGTCTGACTCTGCAAGCTCCAGAGGCAGCACATAACTCCCAGATGGCCCTGGCCCTTTCTCTGCCTCTGACATAGAGCCCTCGTCGGAGCCTTCCGCAGACTCCAGGACTGGCCCATGTTCCTCCCCAACCTCCTCACTGTCCGACTCTGCTGCCAGCTCCGCAGGCCGCCACCACAACAATCTGCACCACAAGGTCTGGAAATAGAGTTGAATCTTTTCTTCTGGGTCCGTATTTCCACACAAGCCTGAGAATTGAATCTGCCCTTAAATATTTATGGGAGTGTTTCTCAACCTTGGCAATTTTCATTTATATATTTTCTTGTGATATACAATAAGTGCTCAGTGAATAGCGTACTGTCGGAGTCAATTCATCTATATAACAATATTAAACTCCTAGTTTCCACCTCTATTAGCCAACCGTTGATAAAACAAGTCCTAAGTTTGAAAATAGTCTTCTTTTTCTTTTCAGTGTTAGTCTATCCATTTCTGCATAGTCTAATATGTTTTTAAATGACCGTATTTTTCAGAGTATAAGACGCACCAAGATTTTGAAGAGGTAAATTAAAAAAAAAAAGTTTTTGCAGTCTGCAGACCTCCCAAACCCTTTCCACGCTTCATTTTTTTTTGTGAAAAACAGGGCATGCAGAGAGTTTGAGAGGCCTGCAAAGTGCTCCTGGGGGCTTAGAGGGGAGGCAAAAAGAAGCAAAAAATGGCCCATTTTTCGCAAAAACGGGCCCGTTTTTTGCCCCCCAAAAGAGCATGCATAGCCTTTAGGAGGCTTGTAGAGTGTTTCTGGGGGCTGGAGGGGGGGGCAAAAATGAGCAAAAAAAAGCCATTTTATGCTTGTTTTTGCCCTCCCCAGCCCCCAGGAGCACTTTGCAGGCCTCCCAAACCCTCTGCAGGTCCATTTTTGCGAAGGGGGCTGGCTTTCGGGAGGCCAAAAATGCTGAATTCAGTGCATAAGACGCACCCAGATTTTCACCCTCTTTTTTGAGGGAAAAGGGTGCGTCTTATACTCTGAAAAATACGGTAAGTCTTCAGTGGGTTTTTCCAGTGTTGCGCCAAGGCAATTCTTGCTGCTGTCAAAACATGTAACCTTGGCAGTTTTCAGATAGGTGGACTTCAACTCCCAGAACTCTGGGAGTTGCGATCCACACAGCTGAAAGTTGACAAGGTTGAGAAATACTGATCTACGGACTCAACATTTACATCTCGTTCGGTGGCCTCATGCTTCAGGCCCAGGGCAGCCATGACAAGAAGCTAAGACATTCTCCCAAAGTGGCACCTGATAACCATTCCTTTCCCCACCTCCAAACAGATTTTAGAAAAAGAGAGTCCCTACCCCTTAATCATCTTGCCTCAGTTTGGGGGCTACTGGATCGAAGACCCCGAGAACCTCAGCACCCCCACTTCATCCGAAAGCAGCATCTGCGACGAAGAGGAGGAACCGCTCAGCCCCAGCACTTATGGCTACAAATTGGAGTGCAAAGGTGAAGCCAAGGCATATCGGAAACATTTCTTAGGAAAGGTTAGTGGGAAAGGAGGCGTGTGCTCCATTACACACACGGTTACGCAGAACTTAAAGGGGTCGAAGTAAAGTCTCTGGCATTTGCATGTGAGGGAATGTTTGCATCTATCATTTGGGGATGTGTTCTGACTGAGGGCAGGAAGCAAAACTCCTTGTCCCGACAAAAAAAACAACCCTTTTATTGATTTACTGTGAATTCTGCTCATTCACATCCAGCAAAGTCTTTCAAGGGAGGATTTACGGTCACAGACCTTCTCTAGCTTGGAGAGCTGATAGGCCGATATCTGCAAAGCTTGGCAAGGAGTCTCAGAGAGTCAGGAATCAGGGTCGACTTGGGAGTAAGGCCAAAAGTGAACGGTGAATGGCCCC